GCAAAGTTTTTGAAAAATAAAATGAAGTTTAAAAATAGTAAATTAAGAATTGTAAATGTTTTTTATAAGTCTTAAAAGAAAAGAAGGTAAGGTCATTATCTCCAAGAAATTAGATGTAATCTGTATCGTCACATATAGAATTAAAGGAGACCAATTTCAATTAATATAAAAAAGGATTTTAAAGAATTGGAGTTGTTCAGTTTTTGGAATTAGTTGTTGTCCTCATATCTATCTAGTACATTACGTATTTTTAAAAATTTAGGCTTGGGTTTCCTCGATCCAGATGGCATAAGTGTCTAAATATTAGGTAAAGTTGTACCAATGATTAATAAAGTTCAATGAGCTCTTAAGATCTTTTTCTATCCAAATCACATTCTTTTGGTGTACAACACTTCAAATGAGAATTGTTTAAAATGTGTGTCACTCAACTATTTGTACGCGGATCACCTGTTTGTGTTTTCACACTCAAACACAACTAAAATTTGTTATGTTTTAAACCAGGCCAGTCACCAGATAGGTTAGCTCTCATGAGTCTTAAAGAAAGCAGAAGTAAATTTTCAAAGTCAAATTATTTTGTATTGCAACCTGGTGCTCCCACTGCTAGGTACAAGATGACAGTCAAAATGACCAGATCTAAAGATGGGCAACTGTGGTGCAAACTTGTATGTAGTCTTAGCACTTGAAGGCCTGAGGCAGGAGGATTTTGAGTTTGAGGCCAGACTAGGCTGAACACTGAGAAACTGTGTCAAGGAAAAAGAAAGCCTGGATATAAATTTTAAACTTCTGTCCAAAATATATAAATGAACAATGTCATTCTTCTAAACTGACAAATATTAAATGTTTTTCACAAAAAGTCAAAGAAAGCTTCAGTATTAAAGCTGTAGTTCTACAGAAAGCACAGGCTTTTATTACTATTATTATCATCATCAATCATCTTGATAAGACTGGGGTTTCAAGTCAAGGATTCACACTTGCAAAGCACATGCTCTACCACCTGACTCATTCTTCCAGGCCAGATTGCTCTGGTTATTTTTGGAGATGGGGAACTTAAGAACTATTTATCTGCCTGGCTGGCCTTGAACCACGATCTCTCCTAATCTCAGCATCCAAGTAGCTAGGATTCAGGAATAAGTTCACGGGTGTCCAGCATCACAGACATTTTCTTAATTGCTGCATCATTTATCAAGAAGAGATTCATGCACAGAGGCAAGAGATTGTGCCAGCCTGGGCTACACAGTGAGACCCTGTCTCAAATTGTTTTCCCCCACTGCACAAAAAAGAAAGAGTCAGAAAAATTTGAAGTGTCTTGTGAGATGATCCAAAAGACTAATGAAAACATCATGGACAAGTTTAGTAGCCAAATTAAATTTTAAGAGTGTCAAACACTAGTTCCTCATCAACAGTATGCATTTGGAAGGAGCAGTGAGAAATAACCATGATTGAGGGTATGGGTCAGTAAGCACTCTTTATGTTAGTAGGAATGCATGTTGACAGATTATTTGGCAACATTTTTCAAAATTACATCTTTCAAATAGACTTGCAATTTTACTTCCAAGAATTCATCTTGCAGAAATATTTTTACATGTTTAATAACAAATAACCCAAGCATGTTTTGGCAAAGTTTACAAAAGATCAGAGACAATCTAAACTTCCATTAACCTGCTATGTTTAAACAATATAGTTAAACTATATTTATACATTATATAGCCATGAGGAATAGTGAGGAAATTCTTTACATAATCACATGTAAAACTTTCCATGATACATTGTTTTAAAAAAAAAAAAAAGCAGGATGCAGAAAAGTATGAACTGGATGTTCTTACTAGCATTAGATGATAGATAAAGAGAAATGTATATACTTCTTCATTAAGCATGACTTAACTATCTCTGGAAAGAAAAACAAGAAACTAGTAATAATACATGCTTCAATAGAAGTAAAATGGCTATCTGGGGCACTAGGCTTGGAAAGACGCTTTCTACTGATATACCTTTTTGAGTCTTTGGAATTACAATCAAGTATTGTGTTCAATAAAGTAAAGCTAATATAAGAAAACAAATAACCATTTCCTTTTTTATAATACCTTATATGTAGATGGAACTGAAAAAAAAATCACTTATAAGAGAAATTCCTAAATAGGTATAATATATAAACCAAAAAAAAAAAAAAATCAAGAAATAGCACCACTGAAAAACAAAAAAATTTACAAAAATGAAATCTAAAGTTTGTATGTGCATTCACTCCCAAAAATTAATAATAAGCAGAGGAGAGTCAAGTGATAGTCCCAAACTGTTTCACCAAATCCGCATGAAAAATACAGAAATGAGTCCTAAATTGGTGGCCAAGAGATGATGTCTGGAAAGTCATTTAAATTTAAATCCTGTGTTCTGAAATATCCCCTATAAAGAAAGAAGTAAATTAATAACAACTACTTCATACTCATTTGACTAATTAAAAGTTTCTATGTTATAATCAACTTCAAAAAGAAAGGAATAAGGGTAGGAAAAAGCCAAAATGGGCATTACACATTTTTCTTGTGTCAGGGGGAAGTAAACACTGTATACATTTTTACACTTAGGAAGTTCAAGCAAGTATCTTCTCCTAAAAGGGGGACAGGTTATACACTGTGCAAAGAAATGTGTCAGGTTCAACACAGAATCCATCTAATTGGCTAACTTAAAATATGAACTCTTTGCCTCCTGATAAGATGAAAAGTCATATTATATTAAGTATAACTACAAGTTACAATGAAACAAATAGCTCAATAAAACAATGGGTCTGCTTTGACCTTAAAAGTTTCATGAACACAAAAGCTGATTTTATACTCATAAGTTAAATACAGATAATTTACTTAGTTAAGAGGTCAGGGGGCACTGAAATCCCACTTACCAACAAGTATACTGGTGATATACACTGGCTGTATAAAATGACTCAGCAATGCTCCCTGTATACCAAGCACTTCCCATCTTGTTAACTTGTCACTAGAGGACATACTGTTTATTCTATTAACAATGTCTGCAGGACAGTAAACAGTCAGATAAATTTTGCCTTCAACAGCCACATGGAGACTCAGTTCTTCATTGGCTTCAAATGCAGAAATAGAATGTGGATTAAGACGTCTAGTGAAAGAAAAAAAGTTTCTTCTTTAAACAAAGTTGACCAAGTAAAATGTAAATATACTTAACATTTGCTCTCAAACAGGTTTAACTTGACAGTGTACAGTTAATTCCAGTAATAGAAAAAAATGCAAACATAAAGCAAAGTAGAATGGGACTGATTATTCCACAACATTAATATAAACATCAGCCACACTTTGAGCTTCAGCATGGCTAGTTTTCATATTATCAACATTATTTGTGTCCCTTAAAATCAAATGCAAATCTAAGTTTTGCCTCTATCCTTGTTCTTGACCTATTTCTTTTCTCTGTATGAAAAAATATTAAAAATACAAAATTCTGAGATGGAAAAATATTCCACCAAAAACTATTAAAATGGAGAGGGGATTAGGAGAGTACCTGAGAAAAAGATATAGTAGATGGAAAGAATTTGATTGAAGAACATTATATGCATGTTGTATCCCTTGCATAATTAATTTATGCTAATAAAAAATTTAAAAAAGGTTTTATTCAATATCCACCTCTAATAAAATGTTAAAATAATAAAACATAAAATCATTTTTATTGAAGTTTCTCTCTAGGGAAAATTGCTTTTATTTTTCAAAGATGTTATTAGAAAAATTTTAATAAAAATATTATCCCTGGTTATCTCTAGATGGTCAGACTTGAGGTAAATTTTACTTTCTCCTTTGTGCTTATATGTACCATTCAAATTTTATACTACCTGATACTCTCTACTCATCAAAGCAATGAAGTTTTTACCATTGATTGCAGTTAAGTTTTTCTAAACTCCTATATTTCTATGAATTCTGTATAAATCTATACCTAAAGTCTATGAAATCTTAAAAGAAAGTGGTGAAGGAGATGAAATTTTAAGTAGTACTCATAGATTAGGTTGAGTGGAGGGGAGAGGGAAAGAACTGAAGGAAGAATGTGGATTCATACGAATTTACATGCTCTGTTTGCAGCAGGGATTCAGAATATATACAATGGCTATTGTCTTTCAAAAATAACTTCCATAATACTTACAACTGTGACTTAATCTGGGCTGATCCTTTAGGCAACTGGTTCATATAAAGGTAAATGTTGATATTCTGTTTCAGAGTAAGTAGATTAGAAGCTGGTTCTGTACAGAATATTGACTTTTCCATCATAGCAGGATTTTTGCTATAGAAGAGTAGAAGCTGCCTATAAAAGTACCTAAAATAAATGTTATAACTTTTCTGAGTAATAAAATTTACAAAAGATGTTTCCTAATGGAAATCATATCGATATGTATCATGAGCCATGTATGTCCTTTTATGTGTCAAAAGTTTTGTTAAGAACTTTTAAAATAATCTAAGCTTCATTTAAGGAAAAAATTAATTCCTCAAGAAGTCCTCAACTAGAGTCCAGTCTGCTTGTAACCTACTTTAAAACACCATTCTTTGACTACTCCACTTCTGTTTCATATTTAAATCTTCAACTATCACATCCTGCAAAAGATTCATTTCTCTACTGATTCCTCCCTTCTTCCTAAGATAGTTTTGCAACCAGCCTCCAAAGGTTAAGAATCAGATTTTTGCCTTAATTTATTTACCCTTCCCCACCCAAATAAACAACTACTATTTCAATATTGGCAGCAGCAGCAGCAGTAGCAATAGTGGTTCCTGCTCCTTAGTGGTATTAAAAACTTAAAAGCACAGAAACAATACTGTGAAGATAACATAAAAGAGTTAACTTTAAAGAGGCCAAATGACTCCATCAACTCCCAGGGAAATGGGAGGACTGTAAGTTACAAAACTGTTAAGGACTTCTTCAATAACTTTTAAGATTATAGGATTCTTTCCTTATTGTTAGAGATATATACTTACATTTTTCAGGTCAAATATGTCTAAACTTGTTTGAAAATCCTCCAGCAAAGATAACACTAACAACAAACTTTAAGCAAAAATGGCAGAATGCTGATAAACACTGTTCAAGCTGGATGACAGAATTTATTATCCTACTGTCACTTGTACTTGAAAATTTCCACAATAAAAAGCATGAAAAAAGTAAGTTTAACAGCTTAAAGAACTAAAAGTTAGTGGATATCATGGGAGGTAACACTCCTATTGCCCTTTCATGTCTTTATATCAAGAGGTTCCCAAGAATAACACTCCTGGACACTATCTTCCATCTGGTATTCATTCCTCTTGTGAAGAGCACAATGATTGCAAGAAGACAGGCCTGCTCACATCAACCCTTCTTTCTCTTTAATGTCTGTCAACCTGAAGGTTATCTTATTTATACTGTACTGTATACTAAACTATGTGTCAACCTCATAAATGGAAACCTGTCCATTTCTAGTACTGCCCTTGGCTAAGTATGGCTAATTCAGAGTTAAAATAAGATCAAGCTTACATAGTATGAACTTTTCTAAAAAAATACTTTTCAATAACTTAAGTCAGTAAAACAGATGGTATTTTAAGTTTAAAGAACTGTAGGACTCTTAAATTTTAGTTCACAGGGTTTAATAATGGAAATTACTAAAATCCACAACACTAGATAATGTCACAAGTAACTTGAAAATAATCAGATGACTTGGATAAGTACAAGACTTTCCAACTCAGTGGAGAAATTTGCATATAGTTTTTGAAACCTCAAAAAAAAAAAAAAAAGAAAGAAAGAAATGTAACAATTCAAAATGTCCACAAAGAGATTTTCATATCTTTGGCTCAACAATCAATAAAATTCCATTTGTAAACAAAGACATTTCTATTTGGCTACTTTGGTCTGACAGCATTAATATTTAAAGGTATTAAATATATTTGTTACCTACCTAAGGAGAGATCTTCTTGCTGTAACAACAGCATGAGTGTCATGCAACACTCTTCCATATGGCTTAATGCACTGGCTATAATTGTATTCACCTGTGCCTATAGCTACAACTTCATGATGTCCAGCTGAAAGGAAAAGGTAAAGAGTAGCAAGTTATTCTAAACTCCCTATTTCCTATGCTCCAATTCTATCTCAACTCCATCATTTTTAATTGGGTAAAATTTACTGACCAAAATAATAGAAAATTCCAATTTCAAATAATAGTCTTAAGAGTATTTTAAGAACCAAAAATTTAAAAGTAGTATCATAATTTCAAAAAAGGAATTATTTCATATTATGATATGACAACAGAATTTACCCTTATCTTCCAAATATGCACCTACTGCTTCCTCATCTAGATTTATACTATCTACTAAGAGACTTTGTTTATGACTATAGAATGGCAAATGAAGTCTCTGTCTATATGGAATGTCTCCAATTTTGTCTTAATCCAAACTCTCTATAAACCAAATAATAGATTCTTTCTCTGTTCTACTGAAACTGACTTTTAATGATTTAATTTTTTAATTATCATATTATTGCTGTACTGTGGGTACATTCTGACATTTACAAAAGTTCTTACAATACATCATAATTGAATTCACCTTGTCCATCATTCTCCTCTATCCTCCCCTCCCCCATTCCTGGAATAGTTTCAACAGGTCTCATTTTTTCATTTTCATACATGAGTATATTATATCACCACCACATTCACCCTCCTGATACAAAAACAGCCATGAAGACCAGTGGAACAGCAGAGAAGCCTCAGATATGAATCTGTAGCTATACCCACCTGATTTTTGACAAAGGCGCCAAAAACGTATGATGGAGAAAAGACAACCTTTTCAACAAATGTTATTAGGAAAACTGGGTATCTGCATGCAAAAACTGAAATGAGATCCATGTCTTTTTCCCTGTACAAGTATCAACTCAAACTGGATTAAGGACCCTGAAACTGAAGCTAGTGCAGGAAAGAGCAGGAATACATTGGAAGCAATAGACATAGGAAAGGACTTCCTCAGTAGATCTCAAATGGCTTAGCAACTAAAAGAAAGGATTGACAAATGGACTACATGAAATTAAAAAGCTTCTACACAACAAAAGAAATGGCGATCAGATTGAAGCAGCAGCCCACAGAATGGGAGAAAATCTTTTTATATACCACAAGGGACTAATAACCAGAATATACAGGGAGCACACACACAAAGAAACTCCCCAAAAATCAATAACCAAATAAAGAAATGGGCAAATTAACTGGACAGAGCTTTTGCAAAGGAAGAAGTCCAAATGGGCAAAAATATCTGAAGAAATGCTCAACATCCCTGGCCTTATGGCCAGGAAATTCAAATCAAAATCATGTTAAGATTCTACCTCACTCCTGTTAGAATGGCTATCATCAAGAACACAAACAACAACAAATGTTGGTGAAGATGTGGGGAAAAAGGAACCCTCATACACTGTGGGTGAGAATGTAAATTAGTACAACCACTATGGAAAACAGTATGAAGGTTCCTCAAAAAAACTAAAAATAGAACTGGCATATGATTCAGCAATACCACTTCTAAGGATATACTCCAAGGAATGTGTAAGTCAGGATACAATAAAAACACCTGCACACCCATGTTTACTGCAGCATTATTCACAATATTTAAGCTATGGAAACAGCCAAGAAGCCCTACAACTGATGAACAGATTAAGAAAATGTGGTATTTATATACAATGGAATTTTATTTAGCCATAAAGACAAATGAAATTTGTCCTTTGCAGGTAAATGGATGGAAATGGAGAACATCATCTTAAGTGAAGTTATGAAGGTTCAGAAGGTCAAGAGCTGCATGTTTTCTCTCATATGTGGAATACAGACCTAACACAAATGCAAGCAGTATTATGGAAAAAAGGTCACACTAAGGTAAGGTCACTAATCGGAGAGGGAGGGTAAAAGAAAAAAGTTGAATATGGTTAAAGCACTTTCTATGAAAAAATGAATATACCGAACTTTTAAACCTATTGAAATCACCTTAAGGAGGAGATATTAAGGTAGACAGGAGATTTGGTGACAAACCAATTCAGGTCATAATACATATATACATGGAAATGTCACAATGAAACACCCTATATAACTATCTTATACAAACTGATACAAGAAAATTTATGTTTTTAAAGAAACACCAACTTTATGTATTTTCCAGAAGCTTTGCTCTACTCATGTTTTCTTGTGCCCACACTTGAAATTTTCTTGAAAATCCATGCTTTGAAAAAACACAACTCAAACTGGCACTCTTTTCCCCTCTTACTTCCTAAGTATGGGCTTTTCAATAGCCTGCTTTTCTCCTCATTAACATTCTCCTCTAAATATCTTCCTTATTGTTTTGCTTATGTGTTGATGTGTTCAGAAAATCTCTAGTCTCAGTTTTTCAAACAAAGTTCAATTTACATTGGCAATTACATGAAGGATTTGTACTAATTTAACAAAAATTTTTGAGGTCCTACCATGTACCAGGCACTGAACAGATGCTAGGGTTAAAATGGTGAGCAATACATGCTCTTATGAAGCTTCTAATAGGTAAGACAGGAAAAAAAAAACCAAACAAAACCCACACTGTAAAAAATGTTTTGAAAGAAATAAATATGGAGCTGACTGACAAATGGTAAGAGAAAAGGTTATTTTATGCAGAACAGGTATAGAATCCTAATTAGCTGAAATTTAAGCTGCAGCATGAAGAGTGAGGGAAAGAACATTTTCGTTAAAAGAACAGCACAAGCATACAACCCTGAGCAAATACAGAAGACTGGTACAGGTGCTCCAAGATGTGGGATGAAGGGAATGGTGTTCAATGAAGCTAGAGAAAGAGGTACTGTGTACCCTGCTAAAGAGTTTGCTGACTTTAACCATGAGCTATGGGGAGGATAATGAAGGTAAGGGAGCAAAAACTATCTGGAGTTACATTTCAAAATCATTCCTTTCTTCACAGCAAAACAATCAAAAAATGAAAAGGAAACTCACAGAATGAGAGAAAATGTCTATAAACCATATTATACAATAAAGAAATAATATCCTACAACTCAATAGTTTTAAAGCATGGGCAAAGACCTGAATAGACATTTTCCAAGGAGGACATATAAATAAGTGCATTTTTGAAAAGGTGTTCAACATCACTAATCATCAGAGAAATATAAATCAAAAGTGCAATGTGATATCCTCACACATGTGACTAGGAAGCTATTATCAAAAAGCCAAATGGTAAGTTTGGCAAGGATATGGATAAAAGGAAAACACTATACATTGTTGGGAGAAAGGTAAATTGGTACAGTCATTACAGAAAATAGTAATGGAGTTGCTCAGGTGGGATCCAGCAATCTAGGCATATATACAAAGGAAATGAAATTAGGATCCTGAAGCAATACCTGAACTCCCATGTTCACTACTACATTATTTCTAACAGTCAAAGCACATATATAACCCAAGAGTCCTCTAACAGATGAATAAAATGTGATGAGTATGTGTATGATAAGTATGTATTTGTATATTGTATATCTCTGTGTGTGTGTGTAATGGAATAGTATTCATCATTGAAAAAGAAGGAAATCTGGTCATTTGCAACAACAGGGATGAACCCAGAGAATATTTTGCTACAGAAATAAACCAGACACAGAAAGATAAGTACTGCATGAATTTACTTATATGTACAAACTATATAGGTCAAATAAAGATTAAAAGGGTATATACACTTGCAGCTATAAAATGAGTAAGTTCTGGAGAACTAATGTACAGAATTATGACTAAAAATAATAATGTATTGTATTATTAAAATTCATAACCAATATTGTGAGGAGTGGTAGGGGGCGAGCAGGCAGACCAGGAGAGTATTGGGGTGCTAGAAAAAGTAAGGTAAGATAACTGTGTTTAATGTTTCTGGAAAACTGGGTAACTAGGTGCCAAAAATCCACTGGATTTTACAGCATGTAGGCACAGGGTAGTCTAAATAAATTTCCAAGAAGAGAAAAAGCTAAATGGGAGTAAAGAATAGACACAGTGCATATAGTTACTTGATGAACAGACTATATGACATGCAGTCTGTATATAAAATCATATAAACAATGACTAAGGATTTAAGTAGAAGGATGCAAAGCTTAAAGAAGGGCTTGTTTTATTTTTAGGACAGAAATTTGAGAAGCCAGGTTTCCAGACTACTGGAAAGGTGAAAGCAAAGATATATTACTCAGGAATACCTAGACACAAACTGTATTTTCATTCACAAGACAGTGATATGACCCCATAGATACTGAATCTGAATCCATAACCAGGTCTATTAGGCCTTCCTTTAAGTAGAATTATACAGTGTCAGTATAAGTTCTGAAATGTTCTGAATGTAAGCTCTGGTTATAAGGGAATTAGTGTAGCTAGGAAATCAGCTTCTTTCTCAACTCTGTTATTTGATCTGCAATGCTTCAAGGACATACTCAAGTTTTATAATGCGGGAAAAAAGGAGAGATATCCTAAAGAAGAAATTCAACAAATGTGAGAGAGAATGGAACCCAAACTTAAAGTGAAATAAGTGGCCTATAAAAGGGGATCCTTCTTCTACTGCCACACAGTAGAGAAGATGGACACAAATGCAGGAAACACATAGATTTGGTGACGTGGGAGAGAAGATACTTGGATTTGATAGTTTCTTATAGACACAATTAAAAATGGTTAAGTCAAGGTAATGAAATCTGAGAATACATTTTAAATATGTACTGATTTGTGTGAGTTACTCCAGAAATGTTTACTTGATTTCACTCAGATTTTCCCATCCCACATACATGATCAGATTTTTTAAAACATTTATGATTCTCAATCACATTCTTCTTCATCCAGCTTCTAAATCCCTGTACATATGTAAATCCTTATTCTACATAAACTTGAAATGCCATCATTTTCACTCATCTTACTTAACATTCACTGACCCCTTTCACATTAATTTTTAAAAATGCATGTCTATTCCAACTCTAATATAGGCACTCCATCACAACCACCTAAATTTTGATACCCTAATTCAGTTCAACTCTTAGACTTTTGATTAGTATAACTTAGACTCAATGAGCATGTACCTTTGTCTTCTCATCAATATCATACACATCTTAAGAACAGGAATCAAATATTAAATTGTTTTTACATTATCTATAATTTCTAATCCAGAGATTAGTATGAAGTTCAAGCACTTATAAACCCAGAAAATCAAAGGGCAAAAAAGATGAAAATAGAATTACAATATCCGTAAGAATAGGATTTTCCATATTTTAATCATTTCTTACTTGAAAACAAAGAAAAGATGCTAATTTTTATTGCCCTCGTCTCAGTGCGTGTTATAGTGTAGTAAGGACTAGATTTTTGGACAGAAGTGGTTCCCACAGGATTAACATTTAAAATGTTAATTAAGCCTTTTACCACTCTGCAGTTCTCTTTTGACTCCTGGTCTGTATATTTAGTCTCTCTTTACCTTTGAGAAGCTTTGCATTTCATTACTCACACCTACTATTAAAGGTCACTTCATTAAATCAATGCAACATCATTGTCAATAGAGGCAGTGACAGTTAATTAAACATTACTAAAATATACTTCAGATCATTAAGATATTAGTTTTTCTATAAACTAACCTAATCCAAATATTTGAACTTACCTCTTTCAATTATAAAAGCAGCCAATGAACTACTACATTTCAGATATTGTGAGTGACTAGAAATTAGTTGATTAAATGTTTCTTTAACAATCTGTGAAATCTTTGCATACTGGACATGTCTCCCTTCTAGAAAAAAATCAAAAGCAATATGAATTTAAAGAACATTGTGTTTTTTCCAAGGGATGTTTTATTATTCTTACTATATAATCTTATAGTTGAATTAGTTAATACTGTGTAGTTATACAAAGAAATTTCCAATTTATATTATGATAAAAGTATTCATTTAAAAAATAATACAAATTATAGAGCTTTTTGAGTAAATTCTTATAAAAGGATGTATCAGTAATACACATGATTACTAGAGGACTACTGATTTATATTTGTAGAGTTTAGTTTAACAAGATATTCAAAACTCATATGAGAAACAAGATAATGCTTTGTTGTACAGCACTATCCCACATGTTGCAAGATGACTGACATCTCACTGACTGGAAATAATCCTCCCCAATCATTGTGACAATCAAAATATACTCATCATTTATCATGTGACACTAAATACCTTAGTATTTGCCCCACTGAGTACTACAAACCAGCAAGCATTTATATTCTTGATATAGTTCTGTGTTACCACTAAAAATCTCCTTAATTTTGAAAAATGGTTTAAATAATTCTAAGTAACTAGGATTAGTATAGAATAGTTTATAACCAAGCATACATACCAACAGTTACACAGGGAACTGTTTTGTTTTGGAACATGATGGAGCTTGAGATTCTGGGGTAAGGCCCTGACATGTTGCCTTATATATGTAAAATTTTGTGTTTCTAGTGAAGAATCATTGTTCTAGACAAAAAGGATCAAAGTTTGGTTGTACACTAATAGTTCTTAATGTTTCATGGTGGATGGTGGTATATTAAGTGGTTCACAGTCCATTTGATATTTTAAAAGCTAGAAAGCAATGGATTTGTTGTTATAATTTAGTTCAGGCTGGCTAGGAACTCACTGTGTACCTGGGCTGACCTTGAACCTCTGGCTCTGCAACCAAAGTGCTAGGATTATGGGTGTGTACCAGCATGCCTTGCTATTAATTTTAATTTTTACAGAAATTCTTTTCACTTGCTTAATAATGACTAATTTCTTTTTTTTTTTTTTTCGGTACTGAGGTTTGAACTCAGGGCCTCACACTTGTTAAGCAGGTGCTGTACCATGAGTCACTCCACCATTCCTGTTTCGTGTTGGGTTATTTTTGAGGCAAGGTCTCTTGAACTATTTGCCTGGGCTGGCTTTGAACCATGACCCTCCTGATGTCTGCCTCTCAAATGGCTAGGATTACAGGTGTGAGCCACCAGCACAGAGCAATCATGACCTTCTAAAGGGCAAATACTGAAAGTACAACATTTGCACTATCAAATAAAATTCTACTAACTAACTGAATATAACTTATTTCATATAGCCCATTTACAAGTTCTTATTTATATTAAATTTGGATTTTTCCTTGTTAACGTTAACATGGTATTAGTGGCAAAATAGGTAAACCATTATTATTAAAAAGACTGGAAAAACAGTCAAAAAATTAATCAGAAAATGAAGTTCTGAAAGAAAGAAAAATGAACTGCTAGTTCTGTTTATCACAAAAATTCACGGTACAGGAAAATCAGCTTCCACTTGATTTTTAAAAATTTATTCCTTTTTTACTGAATTGAGGTATATATTCACAAGTTTCCCTCTCCAGATACAAAACCACCATTACCAGTTTCTTATGGGTATTTTGATAAACAATCTAAAAATATACACATATATCATTTAAAAAAAAACCTGGGACATGCTAAAGCCCACTCTTCACATGTACTTGGTTTTAGACACCCAAAACAGACATTAATGCTATTTTATTCTTTTTAATGTTTCCATGAAATGAATGTACTATAATTTATTTAATCATGTCCTAGATACTTAGCAATTAGTTTGTGTTATGATACAGTAAAGTGCAATGCACTATAATTCTTATATATATAGCAAGAATTACATATGTAGCAAGAAAATGTTTTGCTGCACATTAAATATATCATAGAAAAAGCCTTTGGAAGTCATCAACATACCAGTATCATAAAGAACACTTGGGAATTATCAATATACCAATAGGGGATAGGGATGTAGCTTAGTTTTGGAGTGCTTGCCTTTATGTGAAAGGCCCTGGGTTCAATCTTTAATAACTCAAAAACAAAACAGCCCTTCCCAAACACTATACCGATATACCTCAGTCTTAATGCTGAAAGAAACATGAATACTGTGAGTATAATCAAAACATACAGTTACTAATATATCTCTTCCTAGCATAATTGTGAAGGAATGAGGAGCAAGTACAATATTGTTTTTGCATATTAGCTGAGAGAATAAAAGTTGCACAAATTAGGAATGAAGGATGCGATAAAAACAGGACACATTTAAAACCCCTTTAACACCATTTGACTACAAGTTGCTAATTTTAAGTAACTGTATTATGAGTAACCTTAATCCATCTATAAAGCCAAACTCTAGTTTTAATGAAGATACTGTCCAGAGATAAAATATAGCAAAGAAGATAAGCTGTACAATAGTGATTGTTTTAATAACTAGCCCAACAGGAAGTTTTCAGAAGGTTTTTGTGGGCTTCAAATTTTTTTTGTTCAAAACATGTAATATTCAACTCTTATTTTCACCTATATGGTGTTTGTTCTTTTTTTCTGACACATGACCCCTAATCTGAACCTTCCAAATTGGATTCTACACTTGTGTTTTTTAAACTACATCTTTCTTCCTCACAAACTATGATTCTTTTCCCCCAGGGTAACAGTAATCTGTATTATCTGTCAATCTTTAGGATTCTATCCCATTAGTCACAGAGCCTGAAAGGAAAGGTAAGGGTCTCTCCTATATTAAGAGATCACCAATGTAGACTGATACCTAATGGCCCTCCTACTATATTTCATCAGTTCACCTGACTCTTAGGTCAAGTGATTATACCTATTGATAGATACTGTCTTTTGAATGTGTTTATTTTCCCTGATGTGGTCCATTTACTCCAGAAAGCACACAAATGCACAACGCTTTTCTGTCTCAGAACGACAACAGAAGTCCAAGATTGAATAGGAATAAAATTTCCAAATCTTAACTTCCAGGCCTAGAAAATGAACAAAAGGCTCTTTTACTTTCATTTTATAAATACTCTAAATTCTGATGTGTTTCTAATATGTCACAATGTAGAAATTAAGCATAATTTCCTGCCTTTCAGGAGATTAACAGTTTACCAAGAAAAGGACACAGTAGCTAAATCATCTATTACGCAATACTGCACGTGATGATGTTACAATAACAAAAGTATGATTTAGTAAGCAGCTACTGGTAGTGAGGTGTTCATTAAGTATTTTACATATTTGAATGCACTTAATCCTCACAATAACCCTGTTTGCCTAATAGGTAAATAACTGTGATGACAATTTTACAAATGAGGAAATCATGGTGTATTGAGAAGCAACTGGTCCTTGACCACACAACTAGTAACTTCAACTGAAGTTGCAGCTTTCTTGGGCTCGAGAACTAATAACCACAACTAAAAGTGAACAAATTTGAAATGAAGATGCCAAAAGACCACCAAGCACCAAGCACCAGAAAGACACTGATCTGTTGTTTTTTTTTTGAAACAGATCTCTCTAGATTGGTCTCAGACTTGCAATCTTCTTGCCTCAGCCTCCCTAGTGCTGAGTTTAGGTATGCACCACCCTGGCTAGCTCACCATGATATTCATTAATGACAAGACTACCAAAGCAAAGACTCCCCTAAAAATCAGTTATGAAAAACTGTGAACAGCCTTCTTACAAGAGGAAACCCCTTTCTTTAATCTTTCCTTGTCTCATTTCTCTCACTACTAGAAAATCATAGAAGGAAAATTCCTTTTTGTATAAGTATGAAAGGTTTCAATAAAATGTTAATGTACATTTTAATACCTGTGCATATTTTTAATTATATTAACCTAAAAAAGAACATCACAAAGGACTTTCCTACCATAATGTATTTTTGAAACATATGCTGCTTCAGGTTTAACAACAGGCTCTGCAGGGATAGGAGGAGGACCTGTAAATTAAACAAAAACACAAGGAAACTTGAAACTTCAATGTTACAGACAGCTAGTGCTTTATTATTCTGTAATAGTAGTAATTCAAAATGATTATTTTTTTCCATGTATTTTTGCCACCTCTAGGTCATCAAATACCCACTAGCTCAGCCATGAGAAAGTCTATGCTATTTTGACATCAGCTATGAAAATTAATTTCTGAATTTCCTAATATTACAATATTGTATAACTTGCTTTGTAACAGATGCAATATTCTGAAAAGCAGGGAAAACAAAATCCTATTTCAGATACTTATAAATGATTTTCGATTTATCAACTTATGAAAAATATTTGAAATTAATATTCCATTAAAATTAATCAGCAAAAATTATTGTAAATACTTTTTAAACAAGACTTGTTTCAAGGAAAATGCTACATTCAATGTTTTCTATGCTCTTAGTCCCATGCTTTGTAACTGCTTTCCAATTTAGTCCTGAAAGTAAAGGAATGCAGGAAAAACAAGAAAAGAACATGACATGAAACAAGAGGGACAAAAAAGAAAAAAAGACCAGCAAAGCTTAAGTAAAAAGACTCTGAAAGCTAAGGCCTCAATTAAAGGAATCAGTCCCTCTTAAAAATCATTCATAAAATAGTGGTTGTCAGGAGGCAAAGGAAGGGGAAAATGGAGAGTAGTTTAATGGGTAGAATGTTTCAGCTCTGCAAGATGAAAAAGTTCTGGAACTTAATTTACAACATTTTAAATACACAACACTACTGAACTACACACTTAAAAATGGGGAAGATGGTATATTTTGTTACTTTTTTAAAACCACAATTATGATTTTTTCTTCTTTTTTTTGTGTGTGCTACTGGGGTTTGAATTCAGGGCCTACACCTCGAGTCACTCCACAAGCCCTTTATTGTGAAGGGTTTTTTTGAGATAGGGTCTCCAAACAATATGCCTAGGCTGGCTTCAAGCTGTCATCCTCCTGATCTCTGCCTACTGAGTAGCTAGGATTACAGGCATGAGCCACCGCCACCCTGCTCACAATTACGATTTTTTAAAATACATTCATAAAGGCAAAGACAGTAAAAAGAACTGTTGCACTGGATTTAAGTAAAATAGGAAACCGGTTAAATATATAAAAATTAGTAGCAGATACATGTGTCCCTTCAATTCAGCACTACAGGCCTATTTTCACTAAAGTGAATGTTTCTCCCACTTGAAAATTGTAATAAAGGAGGAAGAGGATCCAAGATGGTGACTAGGGTGCAGAACCAGGCATCATGAGATCCATAACTCCAAAAGCTTGTTGAGATGACGGAGCCACATTGGGTGGAAATAAAACACCAAGAAGAATCAAAACTTTGACACCCTGAAGCCCTAGCCTGTAGAAAGCTTCTCCATGCCACGTTACACTGAGAAAATAGGTGAGCTGCCGCTGCTGCTGCTGCTGTCACCACCTCGACCGCCGGCTCCAAACCTGCTTGTGAGACATTCATCAGACCAAACAGGTGAGCACCAAGCATCACATGGTATTCCCCCAGCCACCCCTGGGATAAGCTAGCAAAACCCCCTGAGCAGACTGACCTGCCCCCACCAAAAAAAAAAAAAAACAAAACTGAATTGAAAACTAACACATAGCAGAAAGGGCAGGATTGCTGAAAGTGCACTAGAGAGGGGGGAGGGGCAAGGAGCTAATCTCCACAGAACTATCAGTAAACAAACACTGGAAAGGCAGGAGACCAACAGCAGGTGGGTGATAAGCCATGCCTGAAGCAGGGCAAGTAGCAGACCACAAAGGTCATCTCCTGAGTCAGTGAGCAACACCCAAAGTCAAAGGGCTCTACAAAACTGGGAAAAACAAACATCAAACCATCACAACACATTGATAGCAGGGAGGCAGCTGATGGATCACTGACCTTGCCCCAGAGGAAGGGGGCGAGGCAAAGAAACAAGCCCCCAGGAAACAAGCATGGCAAAAAGCCACCTCCAAAGCAGGACAGCCAGTGAACTACAGAATTGATCTCCTGAACCTGAGGACAGCATGCAAACTTAAACAGCCACACCTCATTGGAGGAGGAACTGCCCAAGCAGCTGCAGCTGAAAGACAGAAGAAAAAAACACTACCCACAAACCAACCACCTGGTGAGACTATGACAGAGCTTCTGCTTAAATACCAAAAACAGGACTGGATGCTGGAGGAGTAACACCAGAACTTAAACTAAGACTGAAATTCTATTGTTCCTGAACCTGGAGTTGTTTGTTTGTTTTTTCTTGTTTGTTTGTTCATCTCTCCTCATTGATTTCTTTGGTTTTATTTATTTACTGTTTGTTAGTTTTATTATTGTGGGTTTTCTAGTTTTAATTTTACTATTATCTTTTTTTCTTTTCTCTTTTTATACTATCAACTTAAACATCATCATACTCTCATCCATACTCTCACCCTCTTCACTCTTCATCCTTCTCCTGTGCTAAAACCTATTGCTTGCCTCTCCAACAGTTCCTTCTGCCCCTCTTACCCACTCTCTTTCCCCAGCCCTCATCTTCTCCTCCCATTCTCCCCTAACCTGTCACCAGACTACCCCTCCATCCTTCACACTCATCACCCACTGAACACCTACTATACCAACTTTACACAACCCCAAACCCCTGCAATCCCTAACACAAGCACTCTCTTCTAAAACAACAGAAATATACCCAAACACACACAAGAACACAAAAACAGTAGCCCCTACACTGCTTTCCCCACTCACCCACCCCACTTCTCATCTCCACCTTTAGTGCCATGCTACGCAACTAACCAAATTTCGATAGCTAGAATTACGAATATTAACCCCCTCAACTCCCACTGCATATAGATATTACCACCAGGCGATCTTATATAACACATAAACTACTGGTCAGGTATTAAACCTAGTTAATACTAAATTACATCCAGACCAGGAATAAAAATAGCACACCACCTTAGCTAAAAATCCAAGACAGCCACAAAACAAAAATTAAATCAAGGGAAAGAAAACAGGTGACTGAAATGACCAACTAGCCTATCAAGAACATGGATGCATATAGTACCAAGTGGAGCGATGGGAAAAAGAAAAAGGGATGGAAACCATCTCCCCCCAAAAATAATTTAATATAGGATTCAGAGGGAAATGAAGAAAATGGGTACCCAGTTCTGGACTCCAATAAAACAAAGATAAATGACACTAAGGAACACAATGATGTCCACAAGAACACCTTAAACAAGATATCTTGCAAGTAATCACTGAGAATTTCATGGAGATGATATTAGACACAGTTAAACAAAATGTACAAGATGCAGGCAAGAAATCTCAAGATACCAAAAATGAAGAATACGAGAAGACACAGAAACAAATAAATGAACTCATAGGAGCCCTAAATAAACACCAAAGTGAAACAGAACACTATAAATAGAGAGATAAATGAATTAAAGATGAAAATAGACAACAGTAAGGAGAAGTAACCCATGGCATGGCAAACCTCAGAAAAAAGAATGAAACAGAAACACAAAAAACACAGTGGAAGGCCACTCTAGCATACTAGAACAAGCAGAAGACAGAATCTCAGAACTTGAAGATAAAAAGGAAATTAAGGAAAAACTGAAGTTTTTCAAACACCTCAAGTCCTGCAAAAGGAATATGCAAGAACTCACTAAATCCATCAAAAGACCAACCCTGAGAATCATGGACATTGAAGATGGAGAAGAGGTCCAAGCAAAAGGGATTTACAACATATTCAATAAAATGATAACAGAAAATCCCAAACTAGAGATTTTCAGGTACAGGAAACCTACAGACACCAAACAGACTTGACCAAAATAGAACCTCCCCATGACATACTATCATTAAAACAACAAGCACAGAGAACAGAGAAAGAATACTGAAGGCTGTAAGAGAGAAATAACATACAAAGGTAAGCCCATCAAAATCACAACAGATTTCTCAACAGAAACCTTAAAAAGCAAAAAGAGCATGGAGTGAGGTATTCCAGGCACAGGATGAAAATAACTTCAACCCTCTGATACCCTAACCCAGCAAAACTATCATTCAAAATAGATGGAGCAATAAAAGTCTTCCATAACAAGCAGAAACTAAAACAATATATGACCACCAAGCCACCACTAGAAAAGATTCTTCAAGGAATTCTGCACATAGAAAATGAAAGCAAATAAAACCATGAAAGGCAGGCAGTATCAAACCACAGGAGAAGAAAAGACAAGGAATGAGAGAGTAACAGTATTTCAGTTGCTCACAATCAACCCTTAAACAACAAAAACTACTAAACGACAGGAATCACCAAATACCTATCAATATTAACATCGAATATTAACAGACTTAACTTCCCCATCAAAAGACACCATTTGGCAAACTGGATTAAAAAGGAACACCCGACAATCTGATTTTTACAGGAGACCTAACTCATTGAAACAAGCACTGGCTGAGGGTGAAAGGCTGGACGATTTATCAAGCCAATGGCTCCCGAAAACAGGCAGGAGTAGCAATACTTATCTCAGACAAGTAGACTTCAAGCTTACATTGATCAAATGGGATAAAGAAGGACAGTCCATACTAATAATAAGATAAACACACCAAAAGGAAATAACACTTATCAACCTATATGCACCCAACGTCAATGCACCCAATTTCATCAAACATACTCTGAAGGACCTAAAGCAAATATAGACACCAACACAGTGGTAGTGGGGCTTCCATACCCACTATCACCAATAGATAGGTCATCCAAACGAAAAATCAATAAAGAAATTCTAGAACTAAATCACACCATAGATCAAATGGACCTAGCTGATGTCTACAAAATATTTCATCCAACTTCTAAACAATATACATTCTTCTTCAGCACTCTATGGAACCTTCTCCAAAACTGATCATATCTTAGGGCACAAAGCAAGCCTCAGCCATTATAAGAAAATATAAATAACACCACGCATTCTATCTGATCACAATGCATGATGTTCGAAGCTGAACAACACATTGC